GAGATTCCTCAAACACGGAAAGAAGCCAGTATTGTGCTATTACCGAAGGAGGTTCAAGATGTTACAAAGACAAAGAATTAGAGACCAATTTCGTCATTAAACAAGGACAACAAACTCTTTGCTGCAACTTTAGCAGAAAGACTAAAGGAGATCTTGCAGGCATTATATATATTCATGAAGACCAATCTGGCTTTCTGCCAAGAAGACAAGTGATAACTTGAGGACTGTTTTGAGTATCAATGAGTATTTACAATACCATAATGAGAAACAGGCAGCTCTAATATTCTCAGATGGCAGAGGAAAGCCTTCGACAGTTTAAATTGGGTGTTCATGTTTAAAGTGCTGGAAGAAATGGACTTTGGAGAGAAGGAGTCAAAACTGTTTATACGTCACAGCAAGCAAAGATTGTTATCAATGGTGGTTTAACTAATTCATGTGAAATTCAAAAGGGTAAAAGACAAGGATGCCCCTTGTCTCCTCTTTTGTTTATTTTGGTGCTGGAAGTTTTGAGTAGAGGTATTAGGCATGACGAAAAAGTAATGGGTATAAGCATCAAGAAAGAAGTTTATAAATTGAGGGGCATTTGCTGATGATTTGGTCCTATTCCTGCAAGACCCAAAAAATAATATAGAATATTTGATGAGAAAATTAAATGCGTTTGGGGCTTTAGCGGGTTTTAAACAGAAAACAACAATGTTGATGAAGCATCTGTCCTCTCAGGATTGTGTCTGGTTTTAAGGTCAAGAAAAAGGTGAAATATTTGGGGCTTATGTTGACAAACACAAATACAAAACTCTTTGAAAATAATTATGCGCCTCTCTGGAATGATATTAAAAAGGATTTACAAAGATAGGACAAATTACATTTATCTCTACTGGGTAGAATTTCTGTAATTAAGATGAATGTTTTACCAAAGATGCTCTTTCTGTTTCAGACATTACCAATACTTGCAACTGCTATTCCATTTAAACAATGACAATATCAGTTATTGCAAGATGCTAAGAAAAAAGGGGGTTTGGTTTACCAGATTTAAAATTGTCTTTTGATGCTTGTTGTTTGGTCTGGCTAAAAGAGTGGGCGAACCTCCAGAACAAGAAGCTACTTGATTTAGATTAGAAGGCCATGAATTAAGGTTTATGATAAAATAAATATTGATTTCAACAATCATTTTGTTAGACATGCCATACTAAGAGTTTGGAATAAATACAAAACAAGGCTCTTTATGAAGTTGCCACTTTGGGTGTTCCCCCACCCCCACCCCCAGAAGCTTTTTTTAAAAAGAAATGGTGGTGAAGGCAGACTGGTGGACTTATGGTAAAATAATATCTTTTAATTTTGGTGACCCCACCCTCAAGTCTAGGTTAGAGTTAGAATCAGAAGGTCATGTCTGCCATTGGTTTACATACTTACAATTAAAAGAAAGATTTAAACTAGATAAAAATAGTTACGGATTTGATTTTGTTAAAAATGAATTGGAAATTTTACTACGTGGTAGTGATGAAGATATTATTGCTAAGGTTTATAAAACGTTATTGAAATTGAATTTGGAAAGTGAACATGTAAAAGACTGTATGATTCAGTGGGCAAGGAACTTTGGGTATAATGTGATGCTTGAACAGTGGGAGAATACGTGGACGAAAAGCTTAAAATTCACACTAAATTATAATTTCAAAGAAAAAATTTATAAGGTGATGTATCTGTCATGGTTCCAACTTTGTGCTTGAGGTGGAAAAAAATGATATTTTGGTTTTGGGTTTTACCGACTAGATGGATTTGTTGTTATAGAAATGGCTGGTTGTTTGTGCCGTTATGGAAACGTCAAAAGTTGAGGCTCGTTGCTGATGCCTTATTATTTCACTGCAACGGAGAGAGTTCTTTCTTTTCCCTCCCTCTTCCGCCTTTTCCCCTTTCCCCTTACCTTTGTCTCCTACTACTTGCTTTTGCATTTCTGTATTTTTTATTGTAAGCTAATAAAATAAATACTAATAAGAGATCTGGGGTCTTGATTGCTATTGGGGAAGTTTTTAAGAAGAGACTGGACAGCCATTTGTCTGAAATGGTATAGGGCTGTGGTGGCGAACCTATGGCACGGGTGCCAGAGGTGGCACTCAGAGCCCTCTCTGTGGGCACGCGTGCCATCGCCCCAGTCCTAGGCCTTCAGCTGGGTTTTATAAAACCTTTTCGCTTTAGGCCTCCGCTGCCGTGTGCAAAAAAAAAAAAAAAATTCAATTTCAATTTCTCGCAGGAAAAAAAAAGATCTCACAAAGTTGGAATTGATTGATTGAACTTTTTAGTCCCACCCAGTCTGCCGTTACCATTGCAGCCACGCCCACCCAACAGGTCACACCCACCCAATTGGCCACACCCACCCGGCACCCGACGATACATAAGTGGGTTTTGGGTTGCAGTTTGGGCACTTGGTCTCACTGGTATAGGGTTTCCTGCCTGAGCAGGGGGTTCGACTAGATGACCTCCAAAGTCCCTTCCAACTATTATTATTGTTGTTATTATTATATTCATTAAACATGAACCTCAGTCGACTGAACATTCAAATTGGCTGGTGCTGATGGTTGACACGGGTTGCTACCAGCATCCTAGGTGTCAACCAGGTATCTCTTTAAAATGTAAGGTGTTCCGAGTAGCACAGTTTTTTTGTGACATTGCTGGAGTTATTGCAGGAAGCTGCAGTTTCTTGATGTGTTTTGCAAAGTTTTTGGACATAGTTCCCAGTGCCCCGATGACAATGGGTGTCACTCTTACACGTTTCATCCATAATCGCGCAGTTTCGATGGCCAGGTCGCGATATTTCGTCATTGTTCCAATTCTTTTTCTTCGACTCTGGCATCTCCTAGTACAGCGATATCCATCAGCTGTACGCTTCAGTTCTCTACAACTGCGCTATCTGGCGTGTTGTGTTCCAAATGGCGCTGTCGTTGTTGTTGTTGTTACTATTATTTTATTATTATTATGTTATTTTGGTCTTTTTTTTCCCTATTTTTGGCTAGTTGAGTGTCTCCTTTGCACAATATATAGATCTGGATTGTGTAGATCTGTGGATGGCCTGTCAGTCAGAGTGCCGGTCTTCTGGAAATTCCCCGGTGTTTTTGGACTTGGCTTGGCCTAGGATGGTCACAGTTTCCCAGGTGAAGCTACGGTTAAGCCTGTCCACATGTTGTGAAATTAAGGAGTTTTCATTCTGTCTTCCGAGGGCGCCTTGGTGTTCCTGGATGAGCTCTGCCTGTTTGCCCCACACAGTGGCTGTTGCACTCACTGCGTTGTATGTTGTAGATGACTCCTGTTTCTTTTTTCTTTTTTTCTTCTTCTGGGGGGCTGCGGGGTCTTTTTGCTTTACTTAGGATTTGTGGGGGGGGGGCTTTAGTTGGCTTGTGTGCTTGTACTGAGTCCCTGTGGTTGTAAAATAGTCTGTTGGTGGCTTCTGAGATCTTCTTGGTGTATGACAGTGTAAGTCCGTTTTAGGGCTTGTGTTGATTGGGTTGAGTTAGCGGACACTTTTTGATGAAGTTGTGTGGATATCCACTTTGTAGTAAGATAAGAATAAACTAAGACAGAGTTAAATTTCTATTTAAAGATTTAAATAGATTAAGGCAACCTATCAAAACTGGGTTTTTAGAGAAATTTTAAACGGCAACAAAAGAGTCAAATATCTTTGTGGGAAAGTGGATTGTTTGAACTGTTGTGTTAGGATTGGCCACTTAGCAAAGATAAGAGAGCAGAAGGAGACATGGGGTAGTCCTCATCCCACAGCCATTTATTTAACAATCATTTGAACTTATAAGAGTGCTGAAAAGTTATGACCAGTCCTCACACTTACGACCATCACAACATTCTGTGGGTCACGTGATCAAAATGTGGGCACTTGGCTAACCAACATGTATTTGCAACAGTTACAGCACCCAGGGGTCGTGGACCGCCATTTATGACCTTCCCGGGGGGGGGTTGTGGTAGGGAGGGGGGACACTTGACCCTGTGATTTGCTTGACTGTGGCAAAGAGGCCAGAAAATAGGGAATCTCTCAGGCCTCCCCTAACCACAGGTTTCCGTCATCACGGGCTACAGGCCAGAGGAGGCAATTTCCAAGAAGGAAATGACAACAAGTATTGTGAGGGAGGGAGGTAAATAAAAATGGCAGCCGCCCCCCCCCCCCGTGGATGGCCACAAGAGCTACCGAAAGAGAGGCTAAGAAACATTATTTAAAAAATATTAGGTGAAAGGGCAAAAAGGAGAAAAAAAAGGTCACTGTCAGAGGATGGATGCTCAACATTTGGGCGAGACACGGGGTGTACCTGACACTCCCCCCCCGTGAGTCCCCCTTCCCTCCCCCCCAGGGGGCTCCAGAGGGTCTTGCGCAACAGGAGGCCCTGCACGAGGCAGGAAAAACCGGCTGACAGCTGGCTTAGCCTAACCCTAGCCCTGCCGGCAGAGGAGGCCTGCTGTGGGCCCCCGTCAGTCAAGGATCTTCCGCTGGTGGGGGTCCTCTGCCAGGCCCCTCTCCTCCCTCCCCAGGGTGAGATCGGCCCCCACTCGCTTGGCCTTCCATAAGAGCCTCAAGACCTGCCTTTGCAGTTGGCCTGGGGCCCCGGTGGAGTGGCTGATGCACCAGTGGGAGATCCCACCTCCCCTCATAGGCTGCTGTCGTGCGTGTGTGTGTGTGTATATGTATGTAGGGGGGCGGTTTCTCCCTGGCCTGGCCCCAAGCTTGGACCAAGTGGAATTTTGAGACCCTGATTTGAGCTACAGGGGAATTTCCTTAGAGCTCCGAAGCCAGAGAGTAGCAGCCTCTGTCCTAGAGCTGTGGGGGGCCCCATCGCTGGGGGTTGTCGAGGGAGGCTGGACGGCCATCTGTCTGGAACGGTCAGAAGAAAGGGGTGGGATGGGAAGCCCCCCAAGCTCTCTAGGATTAATTCCCGGAGGAAAACAACATTGGCTCTGCATTGCTCTCGTTTACTCTTCTTTTTTTTTTCTTTCTCCCTCCCCTGCAGAGCTTTGGTCGCTCAGCCAAGGTGGCCATGTACGCACCCGGCGAGCCCGTTCTGGACTACAACATGGTGATCATCTTTGTCATGGCGGTGGGCACGGTGGCCGTCGGTGGATACTGGGCTGGGAGCAGAGATGTGAAGAAGTAAGTAAGGAGGAATGGGGGGTTGGGGTGGGCTTGATCTCCTGCCTCTGTTGGGATATCCGCACAAGGCAGCTGCTCTGCCCCCCCCCAAGGTCTGCTCCCTCTCCTCACCCGCCGCTTCTAATGGCCTCAGGAAGGGAGCGTCCCCCCCCTTCCAAAGGAATCTGTAAATGACTTAGTAATTTCATTTATTTATTTGCATTTATATAACTGCCCAAAATGCCCACTCGTGGCACCCCCACGTCTGCTTAGAAGACGAGGCAGTGGAGGAGAGGCAGCCCTGTGGAGCCCCCCCCCCCGCCCAGCCCGGCTGTGTGGATCAGAGGGAGCCGCTGCCCGCCCAGCCACTGCCTGGGCTTGACCGAGCGCAGCAGCAAAGCCGTCCCACTGCAGCCACCGAGGAAGGGGCCGGGACTGTCCCGAAGGCCCCCTGACTCCTAAGACAGGGCAGCAGCTGAAGGGTGGGGAAGGAGGAGGAGGAGGAGGAGGAGGAGGGCAGCCGGAGAGCCCCCAGCCTTTCCGGGCACGGGAGGAAGAGGGAGGGAGGGAGGGGCAGTCTCTGCTGAGGACCCCTCTCTCTCTCAGGCGCTACATGAAGCACAAGCGGGATGACGGGGCTGAGAAGCAGGAGGACGAGACGGTGGACGTCACTCCGGTCATGATCGGAGTCTTTGTGGTCATGTGTTGCTCCATGCTGGTCCTCCTCTATTACTTCTATGACCAGCTAGGTACTGACCGGGCGGCGGTCTCTACGGTCTTTGCCCCCTGGCTGTCTCGGGTCTTTTTCGGCTCTGTTTCTGGGGGGGGGGGAGGCTGGGATACTTTGGCCACACCTCTTCAGGCTCCCCAGGGGCTGAAGGAAGGGGAGGCAGCCCTGGCCAGGGCTTCGTTTGCTGCTGGGACCCTGGTTCAGACCTGCGGGGGCTTCCCTGGGCGGAGTCCCACCCTGGCCCTCCGGGTTCTGCCCTGCCCTGCCCTGCCAGGCCAGGCCCCCTCTCAAAAGGACTCTCAGAGTGCTCCTGGTGAAGGATTAGGGTCCCTGGGAGCCTAAGGATCTGCAGTGTGTGTGTGGGGGGGTTCCATCCATTTCCCCCCCCCCAAGGCCCTGACAAGGGTCACCCCTTGGAATCTGCAGGCGCTTCTAGGCACTGGCAGGGGCCTCCCTGCTCCTCCGGCTGAGCTCTGACCCCCTCCTAAAAATAAGCCTCTATCATTCTGGCCAAAATGTCTGTTTCCCTTCCTCCCCGGCCTGTCAGGGATGATGGATTCCCATTCCCATTCCTATTCCTATTCCCATTCCTATTCTGCCTTCCTTCCCCCTGCCTGGCAGGTGAGCCCCGTTTCCTTGGCTGAGGAGGCTTTCTTTAAAGACACTGGGGGGGGCAGGGGGGGGGCTATGGCTTCAACCAGTTACCCAGTAGGGCAGCTCTGGCCAAACCTTCAGCCTACGTACGGGAGACCCAAGGCCCTCAACGGAGGCTCTTCTGCCTTCTGCTTGCGGGATGTTGCTTTGCCTTCATGGTGAAGGGAGGGGGCGGGAGATATTTTGCCTGGCCATTTGAGCGAATTCCCGGCCTCTTTGCTAGCCACAGGATGCCGGCTCCTGGGGGGGGGGAAGGTGTAGGGCTGGGTGTTGGGGGGGGGAACCAGGACAGCTGGACTCCCATCCTGCTAGCAACGTTATGCATCCCTCGGGAACCAAGGGAATTTTTCTTCTGATACCTGGCTTGTTTGGCTGGGGGGGGGGCTCCTGGGGCCCCTCCTCCTCCTCCTTCCCCCCCCTAAGGCTTTCCCCTCCTCCTCTTCCCTTCAGTGTACGCCATCATAGGGATTTTCTGCCTGGCCGCTTCCATCGGCCTCTACAGTTGCCTTTCCCCGTTTGTCCGAAGGTTCCCCCTCGGGAAGTGCCGGTAGGTGGATGGCTGCCGGCTCCGGTGACCTCGCCTGGGGAAGGGGCTCTTGGGCGGCAGGGACCCTCTCCAGACTCTGGCCTCTCTGCTGCCAGGTTGGCCTGGGCGGCTCCGTTACGGGCCACGTTCAGGCAAGGACGGCGTGGCGCGTGGCTACTGGAAACGGAGTGCCCGCCTCTTTCTCAGTGGCTCGGAGCGTTTTTCTCACCCACGTTCAGCGCGAGACGAGGTCCGAAGGAAGTGGGGGGGGGGTGTTTCAGCTTCCCCAGATGGATTCAAGGTGTGCAAGATTAGGACCGAAGGAAGGTGTGTGTGTGTGGGGGGGTCACAGGAACCCACCCACCCACCCCCTTCGGAAGGGAGGTGCTTGGAGAGGGTCGCACGGACTGACACGCTCCTGCCGCACAGCTTGCTTCCTCCGCCCGCTCTGTGCCCGCCAGCGCTGCCAGGCCACTCTGCCCCTCTCTGCCTTTCAGCGTTCCCAGCAACAACTGGCCTTATTTCCACAAACGGCCCCAGGTCCGGATGCTCCTCCTTGCCGCCTTCTGCGTCGCTGTCAGCCTGGTCTGGGGTCTCTTCCGGAATGAGGACCAGTAAGTCCCACTCCTGGCTTCCAAAGCTCCCCGGTTTCCTGAAACGTGGATGGCCAGCGCTGGCCTTATCGGAGGGCCCCGCAGGGTGCCTCCCGAGAAAGGGGGCGGGGGGGAGAGGGAGTGGGATGGCCCCAGGCGGCGGTGTTGGTCTCTGCGGGGCCTCCCCGGCCTCCCTCCCTCCCTGGGGCACGACTCCCGCGGTCGGCCCCCCTTGGCAGAGCAGCAGAGGCTGCGCAGGAGGCGAAACTGGAGTGATTCCGGTGCCGCCGGGGATTTGCAGTCCACACGGAGACTCTGATTGGGTCAGAGGCCCATTTTGCCCAGGAATCTTGCAGGGGGGGGGTCACCATCCCTGCGTGAGCCGGGGGTGTGTGTGGCGCAAGGCCTCCGCAGGGCACGAAGGATCAGCCATGTGTGTATGTGTGTGTGTGGTGGCTCTTCCCCCAGGTGGGCCTGGGTCCTCCAAGACGCTCTGGGGATTGCCTTCTGCCTCTACATGCTGAAAACGATCCGCTTGCCGACCTTCAAGGTGAGACAGCCGTGACGGAGCCCCTCCCCCCCACACACACATGAGAGAGACACACACACACACACACTGCCCCGCCATGGCCTCAGAGCTCCCGCTGAAGCCTGCTGAGAACTGCCTGCGCTGGGTCCTCCCCCCTCTTTTTCCCCCTTCCCTCCCAGCAGCCATAGGGGGCCCCCAGAGCCCAGGACAGAGCCGGGGGGGGGGGGCTTTGGCCTTCCCGACTGGAGCAAGGCAGGGCAGCGGTTGTGCCGGGGGGGGCTGCTCTCCGGGCTGTTGGGGAGCTTCCAGGCACCCCCGTCCTCTGGAGGGGGAGCTCGGAAAGGGTTCCCGGTTGGCCATGGGAGATGAAGCTCAGGCAGGCAGGCCAGCTGGCTTGGGGGGGCTGGAGCAGGATCTCCCCCTCCCCTCCCCTCAGTCTGCAGGGGGCGCTGTGTCTGTTTTGACTGGGGACTTTTTCTCCTTCGCCAGGGCTGCACTTTGCTTCTCCTGGTCCTCTTCGTGTACGACGTCTTTTTCGTCTTCATAACTCCGTATCTCACCAAGGTGCGTGCACTGCTCCCCCCTCCCCCCCGAGGGCCTGCCTTGGGGATTAAAAGGCCTGATCTGAGGAGGAGGAGGAGGAGGAGGAGGAGGAGGACGGAAGCGTGGCAGACGCCCTCTGGCTGTTTGGACTACTTGTCCCATCACCCCCTGCCGTGTCCATCCCTGCAAGCCAGAGCTAACCGGGGTTGGGAAGCTAAGACACCTGAAGGGCGAGGCTGCCTGGCCGGGGCAGAGGGTCCCTGTTCTCCTTCGTCCCCCAGCTCAGCTCCTCTGCGGTTCAGAAGTTGAGGAGGTAGGGAGCTCGGTCCCCAGGGAGAAGGAGGGCACGGCGCTCTTTTCAGTGGGGCTGGGCCGCTCTCTGGGCCATCGGGAGGCCTTGGGGCAGGCCGAGTCCATCGGCATCCTGACCTCCTGCTCCTCCTTCCTGGTCCCTTCAGACAGGGGAGAGCATCATGGTGGAAGTGGCTGCTGGACCCACGGACTCCTCCACTCGCGAAAAGGTGAGTAGATGCTGCCCCAGGGCAAGTGGGGGAGGGGAGGGGATCGTTGCTCCAACACAGGAAGGGGGGAGGGGCCTGGAGGGGCTCCCCAGGAATGCCCCAGTCACAACAGGAGGAAAGAGAGAGTTGGATGCGGGCAGCACATCTGGATCTGTTCACCAACCCAAAAGGCCCTTGGGAGCCCCTCCCTCCCTCCCACCCCCACCCCTCCTGGTCACGGGGGGGGGGTTTCTCAGGGACGCTTGCCCTCCTCCATGAGCAGCTGGCAGGGTGGGGAGGGCTGGCTTGCTGGGGGGGAGGGCTGTTGAGCTGCCAAGGGCATCGCTGTAGAGTTGATCCACGGTCTGCCAGGTGGCTTTCAGGCATCAGATGCCCTCGGCTCCCGTTAGGGGGTGTCAGGGGCCCCCCGGCCACGCTTGCCTCCCCTCCCCTTGGCTGCTACGGGTCTTGTGCTCGCTTGTGGAGAGGCCTCTGGCGTGCCAGACCAAGCGCTGAAGGCGAGGTGGCCCTGCAGGGTCCGCTTGCATTTAGCCACCGAGGGGCGATGAGGAGTAGCTGCTGGCCGTCAGAGGTACTGGTGGGGGGGGGAGGGGTGTGCCCTGGGAGATGGGCCAGATGAAAACTCACCTAAGGTGCACCAGACCCAGTGCTCCCCCTTGGCAGGCTGCAGGTCAGCCCTTCCGGGGAGAGACCCACTCCCAGGCATCACCCCGCCAGTCGTGGTTCTTCCATCTTCCCCTCAGTGCCAGGGAGCTGCTGCTGGGCCGGCCAGGAAGCAGGGCCGTCGGGGCAGAGAGAGAGGGGGGCGTATGAGCTGACAGGCAGGATCCCCTGGTAGCCGAGTGCATGGCGGCCGGAGCCCCTTTCAGCCCCGGGAGACGGGACAGATGGCCTCTGGGAAAGGCCCAGGCAGAGAGGCCCGCAGGACCCGGGGTGTCACAGCCGCCGTGGAGAAAATACCTTCGGCCTCCCTGTGGAGTTGGTCCCTGTTCCGGGCTCCCGGTGGGGCCGGCCCTGTGGCCCCTTTTGCCAGGCAGAGGGGGGGAGGGAGGGAGGGAGGGAGGGAGGGAGGGAGGGAAGTCCTGCAGCCCCCAGGTTGGGGCCGGGGGGGAGGAGAGCTGTGATGCCTTTTTCGTTTCCAAAGCTGCCGATGGTGCTCAAGGTCCCCCGGCTCAACTTCTCCCCGCTGGCCCTCTGCGACAGGCCCTTCTCCCTCCTGGGATTTGGGGACATTTTGGTACCAGGTAGGAGCTCCCGATCCCCTTCTCTCTCTCTCCCCCCCCCCCCGGTTCGGCCTGATGCGCAGGGCAGCGCAAGCACCTGCCTCCCCCCTCCCTCCCTCCCTCCCTGCTGGGCCAGGTGGCCCTGGATGAGGCTGCCCCGTGCGGCAGGCAGGTCCCCACCGCCTTCCCCCTTGCTGGCCCTGTTGAGCTCTCTCTCCTGGGCCTAGAGCAGGGTCTGAAGGGGTGAGGGGTGGGAGTGCGCCCCTGTGATGCTAGCTGCTTCGGGAAGCCCACTGTGCGGATGGCCTTGACTCGCTTTGGGGCTGTGTGGCTGCTTTGGGATGGGAAGCCGATTCCCCTCCCTCCCTCTTTCTCCCTCCCTCTCTCTCTCCCCCTGCAGGTCTGCTTGTGGCCTATTGCCACAGGTTTGATATTCAAGTCCAGTCGTCCAGAGTGTATTTCGTAGCTTGCACCATAGGTACGTTTGCTGCCACTGCTGCCTCCCCCTCTGCGTGAAGGCCGAGGGGCTGACCCTCTAGGCCCGGCCCAGCCACCTTCAGCTGGCGTCTCCCCCGCGAGGCCCAGAAGGCCTTCCCAGTCTCCTCCCCCGGCCGGCCCTGCACCGAAGGGAGCCTTGGGGCAGCCTCTGCCAGGGCCCGGAGCGCTGCCTCTGCCCTCCTGGGGCTTCCCAGAGGCTGGCAGAGAAGGTGGGTGGGGGCTCCCCTCTGTTTTTCGTCTGGGCTCCCCGTCCCCATTCCTGGCTTTCCGGCTGGGGCCTGGCCGGGCGAGAGGGGTCCCTGCCGCTTCCTCCTCCTCCTCCTCCTCCTCCTGCAGGTTACGGCGTTGGCCTCCTGGCGACCTTTGCGGCCCTGGCCTGGATGCGGAAGGGCCAGCCGGCCCTCCTCTACCTGGTGCCCTGCACGCTCCTCACCAGCCTCCTCGTGGCCCTGTGGCGCCGGGAGCTGGCCACGTTCTGGACGGGCAGCGGCTTTGCGGTGAATACCAGTTTGATATGAATCTAGCGAGCCCCTAACTAGAATTAAAGTTGAGTAGAACTCTTGTCTCGCTGCTCCCCTCCAGAGAAGGGGGTTCCCTCCGCCTCCTCTTCCTCCTCCTCCTCCTCCCTTCCCGTTCAGCTTTCCTGGGCCTCTCCAAAGCCCCAGACCTTTGGCTCAGGAGAGGCAGGTGGCGGGCCTCTCGGTCCAAAAAGCCATTGTCTGCAGAAATGGGGGGGGGGGGTGTTCCCCGCAGGGAGCAAGCGGCCCTGTTTCAAAGCCGTTCTTTCGGGGGCCCTTCCCGCTTTCAGAAATAACGGAGGACCCCAAAATAGAGACATTCGCTGGAACGACTCTTCTCACGATTGATGAGACTTTAATACCGCTTATTTTTCAACCTAGGCTGGCAAATAGTTTTGATTTTGTGAGACCCTCCAAAAGGGTCTCGGGGACCCCCCAGGCCCCCCCTCTGAGAACCCTGGCCCTAGAGGATGGGGTGAGAAACGAGGAGGTTGAAGAGATCTCCGTGGGATCTCAGGAAAGGTTTCCCAAGAGTCGCCGGGTGGTGGAGCCGGCTTCTAGGGTGGGGGGGCTTCCCTGGATGGAGTCTTAAACAGCGGCTGGAGGGGACGAGGGGGGTCTCCAGGCAACCCCTTGCCCTCTTGACCCTGCAGGGCGAGGCCTCTCCCCTCCCTCCCTCCCTCCCTGGCATCGTACTTCAGCTGGCACTGCCAGAAGCCCCAGCCACTCGCTGGGGAACATGGGAAAAAGTGGCTGACTCTGCTCTGCTGATGGGGGTGCAGGGGGGGCGCTTATGCATGGTCGGGTGGCCTCTCTCAATCTGGCCCATTGTGGAGGTGAGCGGGGGGGGACAAGCGGGGGGGGAGCCAGAATAGCGGTGCTGTGCATCCCGTGAGGCTCTCCCATCTGGGGGGGGGGGGCTTGGTGCATCACAGCCACCCCCTGACCTGGGAAATTTCCCTGGGGATCCACTGTGGTCCTGTTGTGAGGTGTGTGTGTGTGTGTGTGTGTGTGCGCGCGCGCAGTGGAGTTTTATGGTTTATTGGTTCCATTGTCAGCGAGATATTTGGGATTTTTACCCACCTATTAACTGTTACTGACTAAACTTGTATGTTGCACAACTCGGGGTGGCTCACAACAATCAGACAATAACCCCTCTCCAGCCTTGTGCTGTCTCAGGTGCTGCTGTTGTGGCTTCCCTTTCCCTCCCTCCCTCCCTCCCTCTCTCTCTCTCTCTCTCTCTCTCTCTCTCTCTCACACACACACACACACACACACACACGAGTGGGTACTGCAATAGGCTCGCGGTGGGGGTGGGTGGGGGGGTAGGGGGGGTAGGTTTCAGAAGAGCAAAGCTTGGTCAGTTTCTCCCTTTTGGAGAAGAGGCAGAGAATTCATTGGGCCAAACTGCTCCTTAAATTAAGTGGTGGGCTTGGCTGGCTGGCAGCTGAGAGCCCCTCCTGTTCCCCAGACTGCGGGAGAAGGTGAGATTCTTTGAGACTCTTGTGGATCCTGAAAAGTCCCGTGTTTCCTGGCAAGATCTCCGCTGGTTGCAGGGGAGCTGAGAGCAGCAGAGCTGAAGTGGCCGAAGCTGGCGTATTTAGCAGCCCGGAAAGTTACTGTTGGGGGGGGGAGGAGGATGGCGCATGCCCTGGTGAAAAGCAGCCCAGACCCCCCACACACACACACACACCCCTTCCAGGTGGGAGGCTTGGCCCTCACCCTGTAGCCGGCACTCAGAGCTGAGCACCCCTCTGACCCCCTTCACTTTTCGCTGCCGGGGAATGGCACGAGAAACCTAAAAACCGACCCAGGTCCTTCGGCTGGTGGTCCCTGACGGACCGGGACGGGTGCCGCCCAATCCGGGGCTTGCTGAACCAGAGCAGGGGGGGAGGGGGGAAAGCAGCGGAGGAGGAGGAGGAGGGGGCGCTTTCAAGCAGAGAGGCCCGGTTGGGCTGGGGGATCTGGGCCGTCCCCCCCCCTCCTCCTCCTCCTCCTCCTCGCTCCCCAGGGGCTTGGATTCAGGGCACGGGGCCTCTCGAGAGCCTCTGGCCCACCCTGTCCAGGGGCCTTTGGGGGCCAGTTCTCTCTGTCTCTACCCTACGATCCTGACCTCTGCTTTTCTATACGCAGAAAGAGCTGCCTCCTCCTCCTCCTCCTCCTCCCTTAGTCGTCTCCCCCGCCAGCTGCTCTGCTCCCCCGAAAGGGGGGGATCCTCCAGCACCCCACCCAGAGGCCGATGGAGAAGCCGCCGCCTCCGCCATCCCTCCCAGGGAGCCCGTCAGCACCCCCTTGGGCCCTGAGGAGGAGGAGGAGGAGGAGCCACGCGCCCCTTTCCTGGAGGTGGAGAAAGAGGCGAAGGAAGAGGAGACGGACGCTGCTGAGGCCCAGCCCGACCATCCGCCGGCCCTGCAGCCCCTGGGAGAGGCGCCCGATGACCCCCTGAAGGACGATGCTCAGGGACAGCCGAGCCTCCCCCCGCCTGAACAGAGTCAGTCCGGCTAGACTCCCTCTCTCTCCCCCCTCACCTTCTCCCNCCTTCTCCCCCCCCCTCCTCCCCCCCCCCAGTGCAGCTGAGGACTGATCCGGGTCGCCTTTTCATTCGTGGATTCTTGGGCCATTCGGAGACCCCCAGGTTGGATTTCGGAGGGGCAGCCCTCTGCGCTTCATACCAAATCCCCTTCCATTTTGAATATGGTGCTTTCACGAAGGTTCGAGTAGAATTTCAGCAACTATTTAAAACAGAAATCAGCAAGCAGATGCCTTTCCTTTCCCTGTTTTAGTCTGCTGGTTAGTATTAATACCTTTTTTAAAAAAGAACTGTAGGCAGTATTTGCACTTGCCCGGCCGTGATAATCGCTTCAGCCTGACTAGGGCTGCGTGGCAAGAAGCTCTTCTGCACGACAGTTTCCTCTTTTTAAAACTCATCTCTCCGTGGAAGGGGCCCCCCTGCGCCCGTCCTTCCTCCCCACGGGCCGCCCGCCCGCCTGCTGTCCTCAAGGAACGAGCCGGTCTCAAAAAGGAACTTGTCCAGTCTGTCTCTGCAGGCTTTTAGTTCTGCTTTTGCTTTTCTGGGGGCTCTTGTGCTGGAAGGAAGGGGTGTCGGGTCCTGCAGGCGAAGACCTTGGGGCACAGTGCCCCAAATTGCTGGCCTCTAAGCTCAGGAGGAGGTGGAGTGCCCTTCCCAGCTCTCTGGGCTGTCCGTTCAGACCGGCCAGGCCAGGCAGGGATCGGTTTTCCACGCCCGTGGCTCTTTGTGGAGGTGGCTCCTGGCCCCGCCCCGGCCTGGGGCTGCCTTGGGGGCCACTTCCAGGGAACAAGGCCGTGCGAGAGGCAGGTCTTCCTCCAAAGTGACTGCCAGATCCTTGATCAGGCACTGCCACCCTGGGTTTCAGTTTGCTGGGTTCCTGGGAGGTGTGGGGGGGGTGGAGGCAGCGGGCAACGGTTAGTGGGGCTGAATGGGGAGCACCAGCAGTCACTTCTGGCCCAGCTGGGACCCAAGGAGGAGGTCCCTGAGGGGCAGATCGAGTCCTCGGCCGCTTGGGAAAGGAGGCCTGGGGGGGGGGCGTGCCCACTCCCCGTGAAGCAGCAGAGGGCTTGAGGGGAGGGGGGAACCTGAAGTCTTCCAGGGACAATAGTCTTAACACGGGGAGCGTCCGAGTCCCCCTTCAGCTGCTCCCCCTGGGCATGCTGGGCCAGAGGGTTTCTGTGTCGTCCTTGTGTTTCAGTGTAGTGTGTTTGCATTTCTTTTGTTCTCTGGACTGTGCGATGTAGCTTTACAACCCTGCGTATTAAAGGCTTACCGGCTTCTGCTGAGCCGCTGGCCGGTCCCTGCGCGGTTGGCCCTCGGTCAGGGAGGGGACACGACAACCTTGTTTCAGAGGGGCTCGTCCCGATTCCTTTGGGGCAATGTGGGGGGGGGTCAGTGGGCCTGGCTCTCATGCAGAACGATGGGCACTTGTTTAGACACTACAGGATTTTGCCTTAATTTAAGCCATTTTATAAATAATGTACATGGAACTTTTATTTTACTCTGAAGCAGGTTAAACAATAAACTCGATGAAACTTGAGTGGCTCACGCCCAAACATTGCGTCTCAATTCTTTTGGCCCCCAACTTTATGGAATGAGGGTCCGTCAAGGGAGGGAGAAGATCTGCTTGGGGGTTCTCCCCTGGGGCAGGGGCAGGGGGTTGTGGGAGCCCCCTGGATAAATGATTAGGGCTCACTGGGGTTTGACCCCGGTTTGGGCGGTTGGCTGCTTTCACCATCGTGCTCCATGCTTATCTTAACCTAGAACCAAGGAGAAACCTGCAGCGAGAACAACTAACCGCAGGGAACGCCTCCGGAAGCCACGGGTGCCCCATCGCTGGAGGCATTTGAGCAGAGACTGGACAGCCCACTTGTCAGGTGGGGCGGGCCAATCCCAGTGGGGTGAGATGGTCCCTCAGGTAACCTGGACCCATTTAAAGGTCCAACACCTTGAATTGCACCTGGCAGCAGACCGGCAACTCTAATGCAGCGGAGCCGTGGTGCCCATGCCAGCACCCTCTGCATCAGCTGTAGCTTCCGAACGCTCTTCAAGGGAAGCCCTTTGTAGAGCACATTACGGTAGTCCAGGCATGAGGTGACAAGGGCTTGGAACGCCTGAGTGCAGGGAGTCCTGATCCAGGAGAGGCTGCATCTGCTGCACAACACAGGATCTCCCGGCCACGGCTGCTACCTGCTCCTCAAGCAGGAGTCGTGAGTCCAGGAGAACCCCCCAAGCTGTGGGCCAGACCCGTCCGGGGAGGCGCCACCCCACTCGGAACTAAAGAGGACAAAGTCCAAATCTCGGGGTGCCCAAAGCCCTTTGTTCTTGCTGGAGTTCAGTCAAAGCCTGCTGTTCCCCCCATCCAGGCCCCCATGGCCTCCGGGCACCCCGAGAGGGTGGCCACAGCATCACTTAAT